ATTGTTTCACTTGTTAGTTGAACTTGTTAGTGATGATTGTAATGTAAAAGTAAAAGTTTGCAGTGATGTGAAGCAGCGCTTACATCAGCTGCAAGAATCAGTAAGAAAGCAGTAGACAAGTAAGTCATTAAGTCCTATCAATATATGATGAAACTTAAGTAATTTTCAGCGAGTCTATACTTTTAAGTATTTGGTGAACACAACCACATTAACATTTTTTTTCTGAGACGGAAGTTTACTTGCTTGTTTTTTCATTCTGTAGTAGGTATCAAAGGCAATAGATTACCATAATGAATATTTGGTGAACACAACCACATTAACATCTTTTTTTCTGAGAAGTTTACTCGCTTGTTTTTTCATTCTGTAGAAGGTATCAAAGGCAATAGATTACCATAATGAAATACAATTGATTTTCCTAAACTAAGATGTTCCATTAAAAATTTCTAATTTTTTGGATGCTTATCTATCTATGAACTGAACCTGTTTCAGAGTATGTTTGCCAGGTGACATGCCATTTTTGGATGCTCATCTGTGTATGAACTGAACCTGTGTTTCAGAGTATGTTTGCCAGGTGACATGCTGTTCCCCACTGTACACAAACTGCTGCAAAGTATAGTCTGATGTATATTAAAAATAAGACAGTTCAATGCAGTTGTTTTAGAAAGGTAAAATAATGATACTGTAATTGAAAAGGGCATGGGGTTAAGTCTGTATTAGCCTGGTTTGCTGTTTCCCTGCAGCACTAAAAATGTCACCAAGTCTCCAACAGATAATGTTTAAAGTGTGTTTTCCATTTCAGCTTTGGACTTTCAAGGTTTGTGCTTCTTCAAATTTTTCTTAGTGATTGTAAAAACTAAAACAGCCCCCCTGCCTCCCCAAAAAAGAAATAATTAAATTAACCCTTACACCAAGACCCAGAGTCCTAAAGAGATGCTATGACAATGTGGCATTTGAGATAAACATCAGGGGAGTGAGCGGCATCGCATGTAAGTGTAAAGTATTTTTTTATAGGTAACAGATGAACTAATATATTTCCATTATCAATCAGTTTATTTTTTATCATTCACAGCAGTTACAAAGCATCATATGCTGTGAAGAGACATAAATTCCAGACAGCCTTTAGTAATGGAAAGAAGTTAGCAAATTACTTCTAGTAGAGGTATAAAAAAAGAAAACTAGATTGAGCATACAGCTCTAACCTCCTTCCTTTTCCTCTCCCTCTGTCAGACTCAGGAAAAATACCCTTTATTGTTTCTATAAAGTCCTGTTAGATAGTTAGATGTTAGTAAAAATGATTACTATGTTCAAAAATCAAGAAGAGTGCTCAGTGAAAAGCTATTTTTATGGAACCATTGCAGGATATTGCAGGAGACCTTGGGAGTCTTTATCATTTGGAGTAAGAACTTACAACTGGATGCACAGAGGGAGAGATGAACAATAGTTTGGTTTCAGTAGTAGGAGAGAGGTCGAGTAGAAAACAAGCTTGTCTGTTTTCATTATGGAGCTCGTACACAGTTGCAGCTGAGATTAACCCAGAAATAAGACTGAATGGGAAAAGAGGAGGAGATCAGAAACGTACATCATGTTCCACCTCCCTCCAAACCAAACCCCTGGCTCTCTTGAGGCAGCTCCTCTGATGGGTACACTGGAGAGGGAGCAGAATCAGAAGCAAGGACAAGGATATGGTAACCAAGAATGGGAGAAGATACCAAAAATGAGTGTGGTTGATTAATGTCTTAAGTATTGATGGAGGATGTTGGACTACTCTCTCTAAACATCAGCTATTAGTAGGTTGGTTGAAACTTCAGTAAGGTGTCCTCTGTGGCTGGTGTCTGAGCTGGCTGAACAGTGCCTGAAACAGCTGGAAGAGAGGATGTCTCCTTTGTCTCAGAGATGAGACGAGTCTATGGGCAGTTGAATCAGGAGGGTATTTTTGCATGGTTAGGGTTTGATCAGCAACCTGGAGAGTAGGAAAAGGGAGTCAGTGAGAACAGGTACATAAGGAATTCAGATGCAATGGGGTCACTGGAGACAAAGAGAGGATTAGAGTAGAAGAGCAGAGGTTTAAGGATTTTTCTTAGTGTGGATGTAGACTGCTAAAGGCACTGGATGGTAAGAGAAGAACAAGCCCAACAGAGGAAGGAGCAAATAGTTTCAGAGAGTGTGGAGACCAAAATAGATATTTTATTTTTTTGTAATTAGTAGACCCCCTACAATGTAGTTGTTATTAGTTACATGAAATTGTAGTCTTTCAAAAATAAAAATTGCATATGTTGGAAATATTAAATTTTCCAAATCTTTAGGAAAGACATTAAAAGCTAGATAATAACTGAACAATAATGAATTTTCTGTATTATTTAGGATATAAACAGAATGGCCTTTTCTGCATTGTTTATTATTTTTCCAAAGTACTTTTGCAACATTTGTGGCTTACTGTTTTTTCCTGACTCCTTCCAGTGTAGTCCAAAATTATTTTTCAGTCAGGCAAAATTTTGGTGTAGCAAAGGAAAAGTGTGACCAGTTTTCTGGGGCTGTTTTTTCAATGTTCTTGGCAAGAGTGAAGCCAGTGTTCTTTTGGGCAATTGGTCAGTAATGTTTCCATGTATCTGTAAGAAATTGGTCTGAGAAGGTGTAGTCCATATTCCAGACATGACAATAGGAGCAACAGTTTTCTGGCAGTGCTATTGAAACGTAGTTAAGTTTCAGTGGTACTAAGTCTGGTATAATATTCCTTGAACAGGCTTTTACATCGTTTCAGGTGCCAGCTTGTAGGAGAATGTATCATCCAAATGGGGTGAAATATATAGCAGCCATCTAACTCTCTTTTTAGGTATTATAAGTAAGCATGCAATATTTGAGGTGGATCCAAATTTTAAATGTAGCATCTGAAATATTTTAAAATAACAAAGTGTCATTTTTTAGATAAAATATTGCTTTGAGGAGTAACTGCTGGATGCGTACCTCAAACATCATTGGTAAAATAAATAACACTGCTAAAAGGAAACCATGTAAGTCTTTGTGATCTGACTATTTTGCCTTGTATGCTTATTAAGCATTGATTTTTTTTTTTCAAAAATGACCTTTCACAAATGTGGCATACGATCAACCACCAATGTTAAAAATGCTGTTAGAATTTAAATACAACTGGAAAAGCTAAGGTTTCAGAAAAATGGATTTGGAAACAAACAATTCATTTAAATAGCTTTTACAGTACAACATGATGCATGCCAACAGAACACTGCATTTAGTGCCTACCAAATAAAGGTTATCTAATTAGCTATTTAGAATACAATGACTAAATAATGGCCAAAATTTTTTTATTTGTTTGTGCCTTAGAGTTTTGTCGTCTTCAGTTGAGGAGATAAAAAAGGGATGTCTAAGAGAGAAATCTTTACAGATTGCAACTGTGCTTCAGCCATATATTTTCAGCAAGTTGCAAGCTGGTCCTCAGTCTTGAATATAGACATGACTTCAAGTGTGCTTACTCATAGGGTAGAAGAAAAATATACATTTGTGTACAGATTTCATATTTGAGGCTGTGGCACCATTCATCTCTACATGGAAAAATACCTGTGAAAACACTTGAGGTCAAAGCTTAATATTTTGCTCTTGTGTACATTCTCTTGTTTTCATACAGGGGATTTATCAGTGCAAATGACAGATACATACATCAGGCTCCAGTAGGAGTGGTTCGTTCAAATTTTGAATTTTATAAAACACACATTGTATTAGTATTCTTTTGTTTCCTTTCCAAAATTAATTCTAAACTAAAATAAAGGGATTCAGTTAATGGAAGTCTGCTCAAACACTTGTAGAACAGGTGTTCTAAGTCTTATAATCTGCTGTACCTTTCAGTGCCAAAGGGATTCAGTTAATGGGAAGTCTGCTCCAACACTTGTATAACAGGTGTTCCAAGTCTTATAATCTGCTGTACCTTTCAGTGCCCAGCCAATATTAATATAAAGGGCAGAAGTTAAAGCTCCATAATAATGGATATCCTGATTTATAACACAGTTAAGAGCTGATAGGTCTGATTATATTGCCACTTTCTCATCTTAAATGCTCGTTCCTGTTAGTCCATCACTTATAATAATTTAAAATATCAAAAAAAGAGGTTTCTGGAGGTGAATTAAAGCTATGGGAAGATGGAGCTTTGAAGGTTTGTTTTCAGTAGACATTTGAAGCAAAAAGAAGTCAGAATGCTCTGTTCAGAACCTATGGAACAAATGGTAACGAAAATGTGTTACCGTTTTAATTATTATTGCCCATGTAACATGGGATTTCTTGCAGCCATGTCCTTGAATAACCATTTCTTAACTAAAATGACACAATTCTGTAGCCAGTGATCCATGACTTTAAATATTTGGAAGGGCTATTGATTCACTGAACTGGAAGAAACTAAAGATGTTGAGGCATATTTTCAAAAGTAGAATTACATGTATTATAAATTATGTTTGCTAATGTATACTCTAACTTTTAAATATATTTTTTTTTAAAGCTAGGTACATGTAATACACTATTCAATTTACCTGTAATAGCCTTAACTAAACATTGGTGGCATCGTTTAAATCAGCTTTGTGTAATATTAGGAGAGCTGCTAGCACCTACAGCACCTCCTGCTGTTCCCATGTCGTGGTTCTCTGCATGTACCTATTTCTGTTTATGGTAGTCCTTCTCTCTAGGTAAATTGTCCATAAGACCAATGATTCCATCAGCAAATTATCCAGAAAATGCCGTCAGTGCGCCTGGTGACATTTGTGCCACTGGTGGTTTTGTTGCCATTTCAGTGGTCTAATTAAATTGGCAGTTTTCTCTTGTGCCCAGCATCGTTGTCTCCCTTCCTTTGGCACCTGAGCTCAGACCTTCTCCTTTTCTCTGTCCTTTTAACTGAATATCAAATGCATTATTGATTGCTCCTCTTCCACCCTCCTCGCTTCCACTCCCCTCACCTCAACTTTTTTTAATCTTGTTTTTTCTTTCTTTTTTTTTTTGATTGGCAGTATCATCCAGACAAACAGAAGGCAGATGTGCCAGCAGGAGAAGTGGAGGAGCGCGTGCAGAGGTTCATCGAAATCGATCAAGCGTGGAAAATTCTAGGGAACGAAGAGACAAAAAAAGAGTATGACCTGCAGCAGCGTGGTAGGTTCCTGCCAAGGAGTGCTGGAGTGGCAGCAGCTCTTTAAATAAGCAGGGGCTGGGAGTGGTAGTTAGATGGTATTTTAAAATGCTGTTTATTGCTGAACCAAATGTTTCTTTCGCTCTTGTCCTACTTTCGAATGCGGATCCATTATTTATAGCTTTTGCTACACATACATTAGCCAGTGAAAACATGGAATTACTTCCAACAGAACATTAGGTGGCGTTACTCCTAATAATTTGAACGAATATGAAATTTATACTAATTACAGACCTTAGCCCTATTTATTTTATTAAGGCAGCTTCATTAAGGGTTCTTAATTTTAAGTCTTATGCTACATTTTGTTGCAGTATCTTAGATATAGGTGTTAATCCATTTATACCCAATGTTTAATGTGTGTGGGTTTATAAGCACTTCAGAATCATTAAGACACATTCTTTTTGGCTGTGTGTGTTGTGGTGGCTTTCATAATTCATCTGTAGTCTAAACTAGTCTTTTTAAAGCAGGTTTATAAATAATATTCCAATATAACACATTAACTAGGCAGCCCTAGCATGCATTTCTTTTTATACCTCTCAGAAAATAGCTTCTTAAAACAGTGACAGGCTGTTGTGAGAAAGAAAGGGGGGAAATGTAGGTCAGGTCTGTCACACATGGGCTACCATTACATGAAGTGATAGGCTGTCTTTCTGCTCTGGCCTCAGGATAGGAGTCCCTCAGCCTTCCATTAGAACCTTCAATAAATGTATATCCACCCTACATGTTAATGGGGGGAGTCAATAATAGTGTATTGCCTGTGGGGAAAACACTCAGTGGCACTCTGCAGTAACACACTCTGGTCCAGCATTGACGTGTAGCCACCACCACTTTTGAATGTGTCTGATAAAAGCCCACTGTCTCTGCAGCTTGTTATTGAATTCTCTTCCATTGTACATTGGCACACCATCAGACCTTTCTCTCTTGTGCTGATTTTTAACTCCCCTGCCGCTGCGGATACCAGAACTTTGAGAGACAAAGGCTTAGTCATTCTGGCAGATATGCATCACTGCAGGATAAAAAGAGTGATATATAATTGTATATACCCAGTATGCATTCTCTAGTTAAATAATCTTGTGTTGCAGACTTTGTGTGGGGTTTGGAAAAGAAGGTGGAGGAGTGCAAACAGAATTGTTGAATAAATATTTTAAAAGAAAGGAAAAAATTGCATCTTGTGCTAATTTGTTATGCTGTGTGTTATGTTGTAGTCTTAAGATCAAACTTAAATAAATTTTTTGTCTCAAACTTATTTTTTTAAATGCCAGAAGAGGAATTTCTGCTACCCGGTGCTCTCATCCTATTGTACTCTTAGCATTGTAGCCTCAGCTCTGTCTTCCATTTTCACAAATTGTACATGCACAGGAAAAAAGAAACATTAGAGATTAAGTTAGAAGTCTTTTGTGAGTTTTACCTAAAGCTTAAATATAGACCATGGGGTTCCATTTCACTTGGGTCAGGTTAATCCACAGAAGTAGAGAGCTACATCAAGATTTAATAAGCTACTTTGTTTTCCCATGGAACTCAAGGATACTGCTATAAATTATTTTTGACAAAATTTATTCTACGGTATTTTAAAGGTTATCTATATTTCCTGAGATTCTTCTGCATCCAGATGAGTTCTTCTAAAAGCAATCTCAAGATTCTTTAAAAAAGACTTAGTAAATAAAGAAAACAAAATGTGTGTTTATTTACACAGGTATTTGGTAATGGGATAGATACGATTTAATAGAGAGGCTGCCATTCACAGAGGGCCTGCTGTTTCAAACTAAGCCACATGTAACATACATGTGGGGTGTTGCTGTGTTCTTTGCAGCTTGTTCCCTGGCAGCAAAATGGTGGTGAAATACATTCTAGTTCTTTGCATGCCCATCAAGCTGCTTCTGAAGTCATGATTCTAGACAAATTCGTAGGCACTGCTGTAAACACGCAGAAAAACAAAGGAATTGAGACAGCAGCCAAGGGGAATAGTGATGGAAGACATAAAAAAGCAAGTTAGTAAGAGTGCAAGGCCTAGGAAGCAGAACCTGAAGGATGCCAGCAGGAAGTTCTTTGCTTTCTAGTCTTTTTCCCATTTCACAGATTGTTTATTTGTATGTACCTTCTTGTTTTATACTAACCAAATATTAATTGCTTGGCCCAGAAATCCAGTGGCTAGAGAAGTTCTAAGAAGCTGAATTTCTGTGGGGCTCTATGGTTTTATTTGTGGTTTGGTGTTTTTTATCGACTTGTTGAGAATAACAAGCACATGTGCTTTCATATCTTGATACTGCTGCTCTCTGAAGGTATCACACTGATCTACTAATTTTTTTGTGTCTTCAGGCCATGGTATTAAAGAGGAAAGGACAAACCTCAAACTCTTTAGATGTTTGGCTTAAATACTTATCCAAGCCTCTCTGGTCTGGAAATCTTACAAGAACTGGTTTTTTTGCATGTTTTGTGAAAATTTTTCCAATTCATTGTTTTGGCATTTCATTAATGATGTTAGAATACCTTCTTATAATGGTGAATCTTTTGCTTCCAATCCCTGTGAAAATTTTGGGGGATGGAAAAAAAGCTGCGTAACAATTTAGCTATTAAGAATTGACTTTTTTTTTTCCTCAACAGATTTTCTTCTTAGAGATTTTTCCATTCTTTGTTCAGTATCCCATTTAGAAAAGATGAATATGCAGTTAAAATAAAGTTTGACAGTAATAATTACCAAAAGTTTTTCAGTGAGCTTGGAAAAACTGTTATGGTTTTCATATTAGAGGTCACCTGAACCCTGAAAGCTGTTGCTTTTGTGATACAGTTTGAAAGAACAAAACACTTTTCACAGAATCAGAGAGTCATGTAGGTTGGAAGGGACCTTCATAGGTCATCTAGATCAATGTTCTACTCAAAGCAAGTCCATGTAGGTCAGTTGCACGGACCTTCTCCAACCTAGTTTTTAATATCTCCAAGGATGGAGATTCCAGAGCTGCTCTGGGCAGCCTGTTGCAGTGTTTGAACACCCTCATAGTAGAAAAACCAAAATAAACAAAGTGAAAAAAACGAACCCAGAATCAAAATTGACAAGGAGAAGTGTAAGGTCTTGCACCTGGGAAAACATAATCCAGGAGTGTAGTACAGGCTGGGGAGCAGCTCTGTGGAAGGGGATGTGGTTGTCCTGGTGGACAACAAGCTCAATGTGAGTGAACAGTGTGCTGCTGTGGCAAAGGAAGCCAACAGAATGCTGGGTTGCATCAACAAGGGTATCATCAGCAGAGATAAAATAATTCTCCCACTCGGTGCTTGTCAGGCCATACCTGGAATACTGTGTTCAGTTGTCGTCCACCCTATGCAAACAAAGAGGGTCCAGAGAAGGGTCACAAAGATGATCCCAGGACTGCGAAGCCTGCCATATGAGGAAAGGCTGAGAGAATTGGTGCTGGGCCATCTTGTCTAGACTGCTTTTGCCAAGAAAGGTTGGATCAAATGATTCTTGAGGTTTCTTCCAACTTGGTGTTCTATGATTCAAAACATGTTTTCCTTCTATAAAGTCAGATATGAGGACTCTTTCTGCAACTTGTGTCTTTCACTTTTAATCCTACCAGTGTGCACCTCTGAGAAGTCTTCTCTACACCCTCCTATTAGGTAGTTGTAGACAATGAGATGCCCGTGTTCTTTTGGCTTCTACTTGTATGACGTTTGTGCCAACCTGTGACCATGCTGGCAGCCCTCTGAACTTGCTCCTGTATGTCAGGACTTTGCACTGGGGAGTCCATAACTGGACATGGGATTCAGATGCAGTCTTGTTAAGTGCTGAGTAAGAAGGGTAAAAAAAATCACTTCCTTGACCTATGGCTACACTCTTGCTAATACAGCCCACTGTGGGGTTGGCCTTTCCTAGAAGAGTGCTCTGCTGACTCATGTTGAACTTGTCCACCAGGGCCATCAGGTCCTTTTCTGGAAAACTACTTTCCAGCCACTTGTCTCCCAACCTGGACTGGACTGTTGCATTAGGTTATTCTTTAGGTTATTCTTTAAGGTCCCTTCCAACCTAGAAGATTCTGTGATTCTGATTCCATCCCAAATGCAAGACTTAATCCTTGTTGAACCCTTTGATGTCCCTGTCAGCCCATTTCTGTATCCTATCAAGGGCCTTCTGAATAGCAGCCCTGCAACTTTTGTGGATTTTTGATGATATATTTTGATGATACAATTAAATACACAGGATTTAAATACACAGGAATTTTGTATCTAAATGATTGCATAATTAAGGGTAATTAATTTTACTATTTACTTTTACATTTTAATAATGATTGATTAACAGGTCACAGTTAAAAATAAATAATTAAACTGATTAGTTTGATAAATTTCTGACACTAATAGCAAATAATGCAAAGCTAGTAATGGGACTGACCCTAAAACCCATTGCTTTGTATATGTTTTTGGAGCAGAGGGTGGAAAAATTTAAGAATCTAAAGTTTTTTCCACGTAAGGCTCCAGTGAGATTCTGTCCAGAATGTTTTTATGTGATGATGGACACAGGTGCCCATAAAGCAGAAGGGTTGGTAGGGTGGGGAATGTAATCAACAGTAGGAGTTTTCACATCTTAGCACGTACCTCCTTTTGATTTTCAATTTTTAAATTACATTTTTAGAAAAACATTGCAGATACAATTTTCATACATGAAATACATATTCCAGCATAATTTTCTTTGTTCTTGCTTCATTTCTTAGACATAAGGAATTGCCAGTGTTCCAGTTTATACCATTTGTCTCTTAGAACGATGCTGGTCCCATCCTCTCTGTACCTTTCCTTTAGGCAGTGGGGCACAACAAAAATCTTTTGTTAGCCTCAGGTAGCTTATTTTAAAATATTTTGTCACTAATTCAGCTCCCACTGACAAACCGACCTCTTTAAAACCTGAAAAACCTTTGAGGATGTGTCCTCACTCTCAGTTAAGATTCTACTCCAGGTTTAGAAAGGTGTGGTCATAAATTAG